TTATGCTATTTTTCTATGTATGTAGGAGAAGCACAGTTCCCAAAGTACTTCTTAGCTCAAAATCATTATTGTAAAATCATTGGAGCAGCTAGGGCCATTTGGCAAGGCCAGGGGGTCTTTGCATATTCAGGCAGCTTATGATTGTCAAGGCTACATGAGTATTTTTTTAAAAAAATTTATACTATTCAGAAAAGTATTCCTTTATTCTAAACTGTTAGCATCCATTCATTCCTGTCTCCAGCTCATAAAACATAATTTGTAGATTTATCTTCATTTTAGATTCATGGATGATCATCAATTATGCTAAACTGAGTAATTTTTCTGAGGCTTGGGAGAAAAGGATCAACAAGGGAAACAGTAAAAAGGAGTGTCCTTGAACCCTGTCTAAGTTAGGGTTTCTCTTGTGCAAAGAGACACCATGACAACTTTTATAAAGGAAAACATCCAATTGGGGAAGGGGGCTCACTTATAGTTTCAGAGTAATAAAAATAAAAATAGTTTCAGAGGTTTAGTCCATTATCATTATGGTGGGGAGCATGATGGCATGCAGGCTGGTAAGGTGCTTGTTACGTCTTGATATGCAGACCACAGGAAGTCAACTGAGACACTGAGCGGTATCCTGAGAATAGGAAACCACAAAGCCTACCTCCATAGTGACACACTTCCTCCAACAAGGCCAGACACACTCCAGCAGAGCCGCCCCTCCTATGAGGGCCAGCGACATTCAAACTACCACAGACACACAGTGACACAACATCATGAGAGAACACATAAAGGTGGGTGGAGCTTAAAGATACAGATCTATAGAATGTCCTCAGGAAGAGAAGCCCTCCCCGTCTTACATGGAAAGCAAAAAAGTATCTTCACGTCTTAAAAGCTAGAAAACACAAAGTTGTGGAATTAATCAACTGCTATTGCTATGGCTTCTGGCTCGTCATAACTGAAAGCATGGAATTAAATATCACTTAGTCAACAAATTTCCATTAAGAAACTTAGAATACATAAACATCACTCCATATCAAAACCAAGAGTCTGAACAGATAAGGCATTAGAACTAAACTAGGAATTTATGTCACTCAGAATGACAATAAATAAACATCTATGGAGTTCCTGTCTGATTCAGCTGAAAATTGACACTCAGGCTGTAAAAGCCAAAGGAATCTTCTTTAGAAAATGGAATTATATTAGAATTTTTAGTCAAATAGACTATGGGTGCACTACAATCAAAAAAAATTCACACTTTCTACACAAAGACAAAATAGAAAATAAAATACACCGCCACCACACTCTCTCAAGGGTCAGGTGGCAGCTACGCGACAGAGAAATAAGCTCACTGTGACATGAGTGAGGCGATGAAATGAGGGCTGACTGTGTAACACACAGTCTAAATGTCCTGATCACATCCTCTCACCAGGATTTGTAACACACAGTCTAAATGTCCTGATCACATCCTGTCACCAGGATTTGTAACACACAGTCTAAATGTCCTGATCACATCCTCTCACCAGGATTTGAAGGCAGGAACTGAAGCATAGCAATGGAGGAATGCCTCCTGGCTTACTCTCCCTAGCTTATTCAGCTACCTTTTTTTTGTTTGTTTGTTTTATTTTATTTATTTATTTATTTATTTATTTATTTATTTATTTATTTATTTATTTATTTTGAGACACTCTCTCTCTGTAGCTTTGGAACCTGTCCTGGAATTTGCTCTTGTAGACCAGGCTGACCTCAAGCTAACAGAGACCCGCCTACTTCTGCCTCCTGAGTGTTGGGATTAAAGGTATGTGCCACCACCACCGCGCTTTAGCTACCTTTCTTATATGGCCCAGGCCACCTACCCAAAGGTGACACCACTGACAGTGAGCTGGGCCCTTCCACTATCATTAATGTTTCATTAATCAATAATGAAGAAATGCCCAAAAACTAATCTGTTGAAGGTATTTTCTCAACCAAGACTCCCCCTTCCCAGATGACCCTATCTGTGTCAAGTCACAAAAAACTAACCTGCACACGTCCTATCATAAAGATTCAGTTGGAAGTATCACTGAAAATATTGTCATAGGACAGCAGATTTTGTCATACTTAGTAATCATTTACTTTTATCCTATACTTCAAGTTAATATTCTAGTTATAAGTACACTTATAAATAAACATATACTTCTTGAGACAAAATGTCAAATTTATTTTATTTAATGCATACAAAAAAAGCAAACCAATCCCATCACAAAATGCATTAGTGTACCATCAAAACATTGTAAACAAAGCTTGGGAAGCAGTACTGACACTAAGACCAATACTGTCTATTTAAAGAACAAATTGTCTAAATGTCCAAAAGTTTACTGAGCAAATCAGAAATTACATTAATCTTTAAAACTACAGAAGTCTACTTTAAAAAGGAACTCTTGGTATCAGTCTTTTTAGAGTCAAATTACTCAAATCAACTAACCAATCAGAAAACACCACCAAAGAGTATCCGCCCTGCTCAGTTCAGATGCAAGGCTAGAGCAGCGGTTCTCAACCTGTGGGCCATGATCCCTTTGAGTATTGAAGGACTCTTTCACAGGGCTCCCCTAAGACCATCCTGCATATCAGATATTTATATCTCAAAACAATAGCAAAATTAAAGTTATGAAGTAGCAGCAAAAACAGTTTTATAGTTGGGTCACCACAACATGAGGAACTATACAAAAAGCATTAGGAAAGTTGAGAATAACTGGTCTAGCACAGCGAAGTGGGAAACAGTCTGCAAGACAGGCAGATCTCCAGACGGCGGTGAGCCTGTCCAGCTAATCTCTGAGTTTCTGTCTCAAAAACAAAGGTGGGAGCCTAGGACATCTGCTATCAACCTCCAGTCTTCACACACAAGTACAGGACATACATGATGAAAATCCTTCTTCAATTCATTTGTTTATGGAAAACACTATAAAAGGTTAATATTATTAAGTTTATAAGTAGTTATTCCAATTAATTTTGTCTACTAACAAACTAATGGTTAGAATCCTACTCAAGAAAGTTTTATAAGTCATGCATGCCTATAACTGATTTTGAAAGCAGTAATCCCCTTCATTTTTCTCTAATATATATGATTTTCAGACAATTCTGAATTGCTCTGAAATATTTTTCAATAAATGAAATTGAGGTGCTTGATACCAAAAAAACAGACTGGGGAATCTCTGTCAGCAAAGAAACACTTGGGAGTATATAACTTACCTTTACAAGCCCAGTGACCTAGGGACAATTTAAATACTTGTCTTAAATTTTGAACTTACTTCTTCATGGGCTCTACATAAACTTTAATAAGAAAGCTTATCCATTCTTTATCCTAAAAGAATCATCTGTATTAGAGGATATAGTCACTACTGTAAGAATCACCAGATATCACACAATTAAGTCAGCTTGAGTTCATCAGTGATTCTATAAAAATAATTAAGAGTGACAAAATTCACATTTCCTACAGAAGATAGGTTTTATGAAAATGCATCATAGCCTGTACATGTAACCAAATGCCAGTTCAGCAAATTGTTAAATAGACTTAAAGTTCAAAAACATCACATTATTCAAAATCCCACATGGCTTCTTTATTAATAAGGATCTTGATATTAAAATAAATCTACTAATTCTAACCATTGGCAATGGTTCTGGCCCAGGTGTGGTATAAAGGAAGTCATAACATTAGAGGCACTTGAAGTTTTTATATACTGAGACTCAAAGAGACTTACTATAGACAGGGAAGACAAAACAAACAAACAAAGTTCAAGCACAGGCATAGTGCTAATCATACTGCCAATCAATTATCATGCTTCGCAAGCTGGTTTAGACCGGGAGCAACTATTAACAGAGAACAAGGAGAAAAGATAGCATGGTTTCTCACACTGCAATCACACCCAAAAGAGCTGACTAGTACCACAGGGAGCAAGTGGAAGCCGATTAGGAGGACATGAGTACTGACAGGTAATACCAAACTGCTCTTCAAATCAAATCGCCTTCAAACTTAAGATCTTGATCATCACTCTACCACAAGGCCTTCAAAGCACAAAGCCAATTCTTTTTTAATGAATTTTAATATACAATGTTCTTCTTAAAACTAATATACTCAATCTTCTGTTTTGGTATAATTGTCATTATAGAAGACTGCAGTATCCAGTGTTAGCAGTGAACTCTGGAAGATTAACAAATCACAATACAAAGCAACTCCATGTGCATATGTGTGTGGCAAGTCTGAGAAATTTGGGCCCTCCATCATTCTTGAGCATAAGCAACATCAGGTTCTCAATGATCTATCATAAGACTTCCCTGTCAGTCCTTTGTAGCCACTTAGCTTTCTCAAAAAGTACTTAAAGACAGCTGGTGCATCTGCCATCATATTTTAGCCTATCCTACCAAAAAGCAGATACTTCAAGTACCAGGGAAAAGAAACTAACTAGGAAGAGGGAGGAGACACGTAAGGTTCTGGAGGAAAAAGCTGGGTGGGTGGGGGAGTATGAAAAGCAGCGTACAGCACAGCAGGGGAGATGGAAGGTAGCTCTGGTGATGGCATATGACTGCACAGCAATGAGAGAAACAGGGAAAGTTTCAGTGGAGGCTGACGTAATGGCTGCTGTAATCAGACATGTAGAATGAAATGGTAAATTCCCCCAACAGCTGCCTAAAAGGACTGAGTCAGTCATGAGACTAAAAGGTTAATACTGTAGACATTTTAAATGGAAAGCAATAAATTAATTTCACTTCATAGATACACCATTAAATGGATTAAATCATGAGTATATTTTGTCAAATACACCATTTAACATTAATATGGACTATTTAGACTTCAAATCTAACAAGAAACTACATTAATTCTTTATAATATACTTGGTATTGCAGAATAAAACTACATTAAAATCAGAGCATATTTATGCACATTTGTTAAAAATATCTGCAGGGCACCAATAATACATGAATCCTTTTCAAAGCAGTGAGTATCTAACTAGTCTAGTAATCCTCCCAAATCCAGTACTTACATTCAAACGTCAGAATCCAGCATCCATTGAGAATCCCAAGCATACACTTCAAAGTACTTTGAGCTTCATCATCAGGAACAATGACATGAGTTACTAAAAAAAGCAGTAAGGAAAAACCAAAATAACTTCCTGGTTTTTTATAAGCAGTTAAGTCTATTTTATTAACTAACACATAAGTTTTCACCAAAGGAAATTTATATTGAATATAATGTTTCTTTTATTCCATACTTTTTTTTTAACTTGGCCATCAACATGAAAAATAGATCGTAAAAGTATATTAACAAATACAAGTTTTTAAACTATTTTCAAATGATTTGTGATATCACATTGTGTTATACTTTAGTAACAAACTCAAATCTGTTCTTAACAGTACTCTACCCTAAAATAAGTGTAAAGCTTAACTTTACAGCTCCTGTTAAGGATGTAGGTAAGTGGTAATGCACTTGCCTACTAGCAACGTGAACAGCTCCAAATCCCCCAAAACAAGTAAAACACACTTTACATTTCCTAGGACATTAATAGAAACAGCCTAGATTACAAGACGCAAAATATATAACCATAAGCCAATTCTTAAAACATAAATTACTGAAGTTCACTCTTTAAAGGGACTAACTTTTTAAAACATTATTTAGGAAGAAATCAAACACCTCACCTGTACTGTCAAACTCAGCACATTTTTTAGCCTTAAGAACTGTCTCGAGTTTGCTGAGCATTTTCTGCTGCTGTGAAGAAAGTCCACTGCCTATCAGCACCAATGGCCCATTCCTTCGCTGTCCAGCAGTCACCTGGTAGTGAAACATGGAGAGGCACCATGGTAAAAACATGTAAGGAACACAGAGAGAAGGCACAAGCCATTAGGCATGGGATTTATTTTATGAATTGCCTTACTCCAGCTAATAATCCCCAGTCGTTCCTACTGAATCAATACCCATAATTCTAATACTCAATCCATTTGAATAACTATTTCCTAATCATTTTCCTCCCATCAGTGTCAGTTGGAATAGCTCTCTCCATGCAGGCAAGCTTCCTTTCCTGATGCTGAACTGGATTCCTGTAGCGTTTCATAATTTCATTCTGTCCCCAATAACCTAAAACAGCCATTTAAAAATGACCGATTTCATACCCTCTTCAAAGAGGCAAACACAAACCTGCTCTATTCAGTTTAAGCTAAGATTATTTTGAAAATTCAGCTCTAATTCTGAAAAAAATGAATTCTTGATACTGAAACAAAAAGATGAACACAGGCAAGTGAACTAATGGGTGAAGAAAGTAGGTCCACAAACAGGAGGGAGTTGCTCATGCTCATAAGAAGGAAAGGCTGACTTACAGAGACTAATGATTTCAGCTTAATATCTAATTCACACTCAGCACTTACAGGAGACAAACAGCACCAGTTAACAGCAGGTGGGATGAGAAGAGACGATGCAGAGGAACAATGACACGGTGGAGCATGCAAAAGATGGAAAAAACAGAACTGGAATTAGACAAAATCCGCCTGTGAAGGAGAAGGAATGATCTAGAGAGGAACATGCATACCCAGCACTACTGCACTAAGGAAAAGATGCCACACACAACACAAGACACGGGGGCCTTCACATGCAGTGAGTACAAATGTGCACTGGACATCTGGGCTTTCAAGGGCTCTGCAACATTTGAAGGAAACAACAGAGGCACAGGCACCATCACAGTTCAGCAACTAGGTGAGAGGAGGCTAGTATTTAAACATTAACTTCACATACCAGAACAGTGATCGTTCATTCAGACTCCCTACATATGACAGCTAAGTTGTTGGTGAAATTTATAAACAGTTGAACTCAATTCATTCACAATAAATGAGATCTACTATATAGTAAGTAGGTATACAAAAATATCACAGTAAGTCTTTTAAATGACAGTGCTTGGCAATTTAAGTTCAGCAAGCTAAATTTACTCTGTTAAGGTTCTGATAACAAAAGTTTGACTAGACATGGTCACATTCCCATATAAATGCCTTACTAGTTTCTGTAAGAAAAGGTAGCCAAGTCAAATCCAAACAGTGTAAATACTTTGTAATATGAAACTAGTTCAGTTGAGTTTTAAAACTGTACAATTACAATATTAAAAATCAATTGTCAAAATTCATTCTCATTAAATAAATGCCATCAAAATAGCTCAGAAGAGAACACACTGCTTCTTGATTTACATGACTCCACTTTAGCTAAATTAGTTCTTTCTATAAAATAAATGAAAATATATCTTTTCTAAATATAGCATACAATACTTTTTGTGCCAATCAAGGAAGCATCAAAGTAGGTCAAGCATTTCCCTGTCAAAGTCTTCTTAAATTTGCATAAAATAGAAAAACTGGTACTACTACCTTATAGTTAAGAAATGCTATAATAAAACAAACCGCTTCCAGTCACATGTTGACTTTGGATTGACATCATAGGGGCTGTGCATTTAATTCACATATGGGGATCTCAAAACCATGATGCTTTAAAAAACCCAAACATAAAAACCTCACTTTATAGAGACTTAGAGATTATGTTTCTTAGCATTAAACAAACTCAAAACTTAAATTCAACATGGTATTTTTCTTCGATAAAATTGTTATCTAAATTGTTAATAAATTTATCAAGCATCTAAGTGGGGCTTAAAGAGATGGCTCTGAGGGAGGAGGAGCTTGCAGCCAGACCTGACAACTTGAATTTGACCCCCAGGACCCAAGTGGCAGAAGGAGAGAATGATTCCTGTTGCCTCTATATGTGCATATCTAGGCACACGCACACTCACACATCAACATAAGCAAATACAATAAAATTTTTTAAAGAATCAAGAAATGACTAGAAAAGGTAAGCATGCTGCTATAAGGAGTCAAGGGCAGAAAAGTCCCTAAACGAACATGGAAGGATGCTTTTGGTTAAGACCAGAGGTTGCTTCTGAGCCTCAAAGAAGGGCCACCAAGTTTACTTGAAACACAATTCTGAATGAGACACAGATGGATTAAACCGCATCAACTTATCACCTCTACCCATCTGCACATTCCCTGAAGGAGCTCATCAGTACAGCTTGCAATACAAACATTCTAGACTCTACTATCAAGCAAGTGTATCATGTTGGGACCAGTGTTCAATGCACCTGCCACTTTCAGGCTTAAAAGCTTGCTCACCATCAACACACATGTAACCAAGCACTTGGTACTTGCCACACTGTTCTCCATGCAAAAGACCTGTTGCAGTGAACCAGTCCCAGCCCTCATACAGCTTAGATTCTAATAGGAAAGGGAGAAATAAAGTACAGGAAGAGTATAATGCTATTTCTCAACTGTATGCTAAAGGGGGTTAAGGGGGTGAATGAGGTGAGCAGCACTGAGGGATTGCTATTTTTAATAAATGGTCCAAAACCAGGGCTGTAGCTCAAGGGTGGACTGCTTACCCAGCAAATATAAGTTTCTAGGTTCAGCTCCTAGCAGTATAAATAAGTAGCTGACAGGTACAATTGGGTCTGAACGGTGTAAGTAAGTAGGAGGGAGTAACCCTGGCTCCTCAAACCTGTTTTTGGCAGAGAAAATAGCTAAAGCTTAGGATCTGAAAGGGAATATATTTGATCAACTACAGACTCAGCAAGACAGCCAGGTTGAACAAGTGGAGTCTGGTGGCAGCTAAGATCATCACATCCTAGACCTTAGCTCTTAACAACTGCACATACTCTACCATCTCCACTTACACAGACCTGTTTATCATCTACTAGCATTCTAGCCACATATCAGTCACCAAGAATAAAGAAGATTGGCCATGGTGTTGTACACATCTTACCCTTTGAGGCAGAAGCAGGTAGGTTGCAAGTTTCAGGCTATCCTGGGCTACATAATGAAGGCCTATCTCAATAAACAAAAAGACATAAAGTCAATGCCAATGGAATACAGAGTGTATGTTTCTTAAATTTCAAAATAAAAATCCCTTTCTGAAAGTAATTACCATAATCAGAGTTAAAGAATACCATAAAGGTATCTGTATTTCTGACACATCTAAAATAATCTATGATGACAGCTTAAATATACTATGCTCTGGCAGGGAGTTCAAGTATAAATGAATTAAATAAGTACTAATTTGTAAAGTATGGTGGAACTGAATGAGGGCTGACCTAAGACTTAAGATATCTGAGGCCTAACTGGCCCATTAAAAAATGTTTTAATGTCTGGTTAATAATCCTGGGCAAATCACGACCTTTCAGTTTTCCCATTTTTAAAAGAAAGAAATTAAAGAGGTCCTTTTCATTTCCCAAACTATCATTTGGAACACATTTATCAGACTGCAGTCTAAAACAAAAGACAAATGTTCTCAGGGATAGCACCTATGACCACACCAAATTCTAACAACCTCAGGCGAAGGCTGTCACTAAGCAGTGGCGTCAGTCACTACTGCACTGCTCTTTCTGGACAACAGGGCTCTGCAAAACAGTCGTTGTGTCATGGCAGCCTGACAAGAGCCAGCAAAGCAGCCTGGGCTGAGAGAGGAGTGTGGTAATGGTTAGAGGTGACATCCCAGATGTAAACTACCTCTTAATGAATGCACAGAACCTACCGCCTCCACTCACACGGATTTATCATCCATGAGTTTCCTTAGCCACATATCAATGATTAAGACAATAAGATAGTTTGGTCAGTGTTGTTGCAAATCCCTCATCATCTGAACAAATATGAAAATACAGTGGGCTCCCTCCCATGTCTCTCTCCTCTCCTCATCTCAACACCATCACCCATAATTTCAGACCCTGTTAATCCTGGACTTTATTACAGCAGCCTCCACTCAACCTGCATTTCTTCTGACTCCATGCTATCCTTCAGACCATCTTGTTCCATACTGAAAATGCCGCACTAAATCTGAAGTACCTATTAAGGAAAGTTAAGGCCTTTCATAGGCTTATCCCAATCTAGTGTTTCACCCTAAAACTACTTTAGCATTCCTCATGCGCCTTGCACACTAACCCCAATAGTTCTTTACATTTCTGAGGGCATTTTACACCTTCCTCTGAGAAGCTGTGCTGGCTTTCCAAGCAGAACACATTCTTCCCATTTTCTACACTAAAAAAGGCAGATTTTTGTGCAGGTAGCCTCCCTACAAGATCTGCTCCATCTCTATCCCTCAGTATGTCAAACAGTATGCAGTGAGTTCTAACCAATAAAACACAAGGAAGACCTCAGTGAAGGCTACAAGACTCCTTCAAGATAGCCACTATCACAACTAGAATTGCAGCAACCATTCAACAGGAACAAGGACACACAAGTAACACCAGAGTCACTAAATCAAGGATGGCAAGTAATGGCAAAAGCATGGGTTCTCAGTGCAATTACAGTTGCCAATAGGATGGTCTTTATAACAGTCAAGTGTTTCTGATTAGGAATTTTCTGTCACTTCCACAACAGCACCCATCAGCTCACTTTCCCTCCGACACTCTATCACCTTCTGAAGTTCTTCCTGACAGCTCCTGAAGTGAGGCTCCTCGAGTCTACTGTACACGTTATAGCTTTTGCACATTTCATTGCTTTTATCATATAATACAATTTATACCAAGATTTTTTGCATTTATATCTTCCATTTGGCTATGGATTCCTAAGAAATAGGTCTTTTTTCCACTGTGTGCTTATACCTTTTAACTAATTCACAGGCTCATATAGCCAACTACTACTTAACAGTTCCAACAATAGATGCAAAATTGGCAGAGGATGAAGGATTCCCTTTCCAATACCAGCAAATGGCACCAACTAGTCTATGCCTCCAGTAACATTAATTCTACTCATTTCCGACTCATTATAGAATCCCAAGGAAAAGTAATGCTGGGATAAACATACACTGAACTTCATTACTTTCCTTACAGACTTTCAAGGCTCTTCATGTCATGCTGGCATTTGCTTGCCACAATCCTAGGTGATATTTCTTTCACTCTTGCACACACTGCACAAAAAGGAGTGATTTCCTTTTAAATCAAAAGAGCAAATGCTCAGGACAAAATTCACTCCAGTTTCTCCTGTACTCTCAATGGTTTCTATTCTCAAACTCTATCTCCAGCAATTACTAACTCTGCAATCTCCAAATGTGCCCATTTCGTCTATTTGAGGGTCTCTATACAATGTCCTTTATGTGGTCACCTGGCTGCCTCCCCGTCATAATTCAAGTTTTAGTTCAAATTGGTTCTTAAAAAGCCCTCACTGATGCAGTGTCGTTCAGGAGTTGAGCACCTCCACCTAGCTACGCAATACAAAATCACTCTGGAAGCATTTGTGTACCCACTTCTGAAATGACTGCATTTATCAATTTACATATTCACAGACCATTTTTCTCTACCTCTTACTGGCAAGCAAATTCCTTGAAATAAGGGTTGCTTTAGTCAAATTCATTGTTGTATGAACGCTGCGAAAACTACACAGGGTTTAATAAATATTTCTTCGTAGACGTACTGTGATTGTGTCTTTGAATCCATAATAGTCAGTACTCCAGAAGTACTCAATAGTTGGTGAGTGAAAGATACCTGCTAACTGCAAGTTTTTCTACTATGCTCCTTTCACAACCCAGTTCAATAAAAAAATAAATGTCCCAAATCTAAATCCATACTTACGACTGAGCACTGGCTAGTAGAGAATGATTCATTCTTCTCTGGTGGCAGCAATAATGATTTTATATTTTCATCGTCTGTATAATCCACGGGCCGTACACCAAATATGTTACTGGTAAAACAAGTCAGATGTGTTTAAGTAAATAAAATACATAACTTCATTCTTAACAGATGCACTCCTAGAACTACTTGTAAACATCCTTAATACACAATTGTAACTAAAGAAACACAGAGCTCACTTAGTCATGAAGATCTAGTATCAAAAGCTACGGAACTCAGTGAAGAAGCAAAGAAGGAAGCCAGCTCCACCTCCACCCTCTAGAGACTCAGCCTCCTGCAGAGGACCCAACATTTCCCTAGTTCTTCCCTTCAGCCCCTTTTACCCCTTTCCTTCTAGCCCACTTCCATTCTTCTGTGATGCTGCCAACCCACAGACCGATTCTATACCAGAGACACCCCTCCCCTCCTGCCCCCGTCTGCACACTACACTGGGTATTAGATATAAATATATATGTATAGAGAATGAAATTTTACCCTGTAGATGACCTGTCCTCATAAGCCATTTTTTTAAGATATCCAAACATCCAAGGTCTCTTGACTTTTTGAAGATGAGTATTTTTTTATAAAGACAAGAGCAGAACCCTGCCCTAATCCTTATGAGGTTTTAATTACCACCTGTATGATTATCACCTCTGTGGATAAGCTGTCATTTCTCTTTTGAAGAGTTTTTTTTTTAATTGAATCTTTAGTAATTTGATCCATAGCTTTTTTCTCCTGTGGAAACAAGAGCAACGTAGCACATCTCCTGGTTCCTATTTTGAGGTCAACATATCCTTGAAATACACAGGCTAATTTAATCTAGAAGTTTTTATTATATTATTATTTAATGTCTCTCTCTTGCCATTATTTTTTTATTTGCATTAAGAAAATTTAAGTTTAATAAAGCATCATGTAATCTATTTTGGGATACTTTTTATCCCTTTTTGTTTAACTGAAGACTAGTGTGGTTCAGAGAACAGCCTGATACAAACTTCTGAATGCATGCATCTTTACAAATCACAGCATGAAATACTAGACGAGGTCTCAAAGTAGAACCCCATCATTTCATAGACTATAATAAAACAGAGCAACAGGTTCCGATGATCTATTTAGGTCACATTTGCCCTGGATCTCAATTACATTCAATAGCATGCTCAACAAGTCCATTGTAAATAATTTGTTAAAGCTACAACATTTGGTCAACCATTCCTCTTCTTTACAATTCAAGAATATTTTAGAATATATTTTAATATACCATCCTGTAATATTGAGCTTTCAAAATCAAGTTATCGTTTCTAATCTCTTAAGGGTTTTAAGGATATTGCATGTATATATTTAATTAAAGCTGAAGAGGGCTGGGTATAAAGTTCAGTGGTTCAGTGCTTGTAAAACATGCACAACACTCTAGACTTGATTCCAAGCATTGAAAGCAAATGTGAAAATACAGTGTGTTAAATGGGAAACAAAAATATTAATAAGGTACTATTCCAATTTTATAAGTGTAATTGAGTGCGTAGAGAATGTCTTAAAGGGGCAAGAATGAACCATTAAGGGAAGAAGAAGAAAAGTGTCAGCTTTGATGAGCCACAGAAGTCACACATATAAGGAAGGACTAAGCCTCTCTAAGCCAGTGACCTTAGGGAAGGCTGTTATAAGGGCATCTTGGGAAAAGAGAGCTAGTGGATTAAGATAAGAAATAAGTCAGAGCAATTCTCTCATGACAGCTCTTCATGACCACCAGGCTCAGTTGCTCCGTCTTCTTTCAGCAATTCTGAGTAAACAGTCATAAGGCTGCATTCTCGGGTTCCCCTTTATGTCCAGGTCCACACCATGGGCCTTTCCTGGCAATATTCTTTCTCCAGCCAATGTAAAAGACAAGTGCACTTGGGTTCCTGATTTACAACACTGTGACACAAGCCACTGCTTACAGCTGGAGCGAGTACTGTCAGAGCACGTCAACAGGATCTCATGCACTCTCCTGGAGACGTCCCAACCTCATGCTCTCTTATTCACACACCACCACACTGCCTCCTCATGTGCAGATGCTATGACAGCCACAAAATAGACGCCTGATTTGAAGAATCAAGATTCTAATTCTTAAACCAACTGCAAAAATGGATAAACAAAGCCATAGTATACATGTTTTTATTAATATATATGAGAAAAAACCTTAGTCAAATGAACTTAATACACACTAACTGATGACATCTGCATAGCTATTTATATGAGCTGAAGTAAAAAAATCCCTGATGACAACATGAAAAATGGCTATATGAAAGTGTTTCATAACATGTCACAGCCATAGTGCTACTACGGCAGACTTCTACATAAACACGTGGTCTGGAGCAATCAAATACTCTTGTATTCTGAAGAGTTTCTTCACAAGCTGACTAGCAGAATTTTATTATATGTAAATTACAGAATTATAAGTTACAGATACCACAGGTTCTGGAAAGGTCCTGCTTCATGGAAAATGGGGCCTATGGCACTCTGTCATAATTTTGTTTTCTTCTCAACTACAGAAATACGGAAACAAATTCAGGTTTACAAGTAGAAACTTAACCACAGCAAGGAAAGATAAGGTATATTCTACTCTTATGTGGACACATACAAAATGTGTTCTTTCCAGATTTGAAAGGGTTAACATGGGTTACATGTATAGTGAGAAAATTTGATTTATTTTAATTATTATTTAATTTTATCACATTATTTATTTCCTTTATGTAAAAATAGATATCTCAAGGAAACGTAAGACACTATTGAATACGTCAGTCACTGACATTGTGACTGCTAATTGGAACAGTGGTAAATTAATTATTCTCCATCATCGTAAGAAAGTCTTTTTAAGATTGCAACATATTAACTCAAAATAGACATAATTTATTATTTTACTGAAAAGGTCAAGGCTATTGCTCAATGATTCTTTTCTAATATAAACGCAACGTTCTCTGTTTTCTGGTATGAAGCATAAGCCTTAACTCACATCAATATCTAGAAGAATAGGGTGTACACACCTTTTCCTTCTCTGCAAACCTCTGAAAGCAAATACTAACTCAACAAACAAATATGAAACTGACCAAGTATATGCCAAAGCAAAGTAACGGGGTGAAATGTAGGTAAGGAACATACATTGGCAAATGAAATGGCCTTGGGTCAAGACTTGTAATTGTCATGTGGTACATGAATGTGTAGAGACTGAGGAGGAAATAAGCAATATGGCTGCTAAAAAGTATGTACCAGCTGGAAAAGAGCCTTCTCCATCTAGAGAGCTGAACTCTTCTCATTGTATGAGCATATGTGATGGGTGAATACAAGTGAAGAAACTGATACAATTGGCAGACAGAGGCAACGAACACTAGAGAGAAGGAGACACTACAACTGTGAAAATGGAAAATATGTCTGGGTTAGTGCAACAGCAACAAATCAAGGTACTTTGATAATACAATTTATACAAGTAAGCATAATTCCTGTCAATATACTAACAATTTCCATATGTATCATTTCTAACCATTCCTTTAATACCTATCCAAAGAAAATCTCTTAAAATTCAGTGATCTCCAAAGGATTACATATAGTTAATACTGTTCATGCACTAGAAATTGTTCTAAAAATGCAGTTTTCCTGGTTACTGAAGCTTATCATACAATCATTGACAAAAATCCTATCTTTTTATTAATTTTCTCTATTGATTTATAGCATAGTACATTAGCTGGTTTTACTATTTCTCTTCCTCTAGTATATGCCTGCCCCTACTGACTGCCCTGTGATTTTTAAGAGTTTTTTGATTAGATTCATTTATTTATGTGTGTGTGTGTGTGTGTGTGTGTGTGTGTGTGTGTGTGCGTGTGAGAGAGAGAGACAGAGACAGAGAGAGAGAGACCAGAGGAAAACTGACAGGAGTTGGGCTTTCCTTCCCATACCTGGGCCCTAGGGATGGATCTCATACCAACCATGACTAGAGGCAAATGCCTCTCCCGAGTGCTGTTAGCCATTCTATTGCCCTTTTCCTGTACTTTCATTTGTTTTATGAGACCAAGTCTCACCAAGTAGCCTTGGCTGGCCTAGAACTCATAGAGGTCTGCCTTCTACTACTTCCCAAGAGATAGGATTAAAAGTATGAGCCACCATGCCTTGTTGAATTAGGAGCGGCAGGGCTGCGTCCCCGGCACCCGGCCGCCCGCATGGCTAGCTTATGCCCGAAATAATTACACGGAAACTGTATTCTTTCAAACACTGCCTGGCCCGGCTAGTTCCAGCTTCTTATTGGCTAGCTCTTACATATTGTTCTAACCCATTTCTAATATTCTGTGTAGCCCACGAG